TAAAAAGGTTTGTCCTAGTTGCGTTATAATTCTAGTTACTTGTTTTCATTATACATTTGAAGTAACTAGTTTTAATTACATTTCATGTAACTAGCTTAATTATATCTTTATTTTACACTAGATAAGTGTTATTGAGAATTTGCGTTCACATGTTCACACTTGCAAAATGTTCTAATTTGAAAACGTCGTTTGTAATATTGAAGATATGCCATATTCAATTGAGAGTAATTAACTTATCAGATATAACGTTATCATCGTACTGTGCGTCACAAACACACGCACACGCACGAAACACACACACACACGCGCACGAAACACGCACGCACGGAACACACAAAACACGCACGCACTCGATACATAAACTCAATGATTCTATGACGCTAATTAGTCATTAGTATCGTTTCATTAACACATCTGCCAGGTGCTCCTCTGAGTACAAATCTTTCGACGACATTATTGAACATTTCTCACTGTACGAAATTGGAGGGAACATCGGTTTGTTGTTGTTGTTGTTGTTGTTGTTGTTGTTGTTGTTGTTGTTGTTTCTTTCTACTATATAATGACCATCCTTTCAAACAGTAATAATAATAATATACCTTTTTTATGCTTACTATTCAGTTTTTTGGTTTTTTTTTCGTCTAGCTTTTTATAAATGCTGAAAGGCTTTTTTTTTACAATGAAAACATGCTTATAAATCTGATACTTATTCGCCCATGACCCATAAGATCGACAGAAAGCGACGTTTATTTATACCTGCAGAAGTAGTATAAGTAGTTTCGATTGGTTATCATTCAAATGCTAAATGAAGTTTTAATCAAATTATCCCAATGTTGTTTCAAAATTAGTTTGAATGCTATAAAAATACGCTGCCACGTTAATTAGAATGATTGAAATACTCAAAAATTACTGCCGGATTAATATGGAGATATTTTTGAAAAAATGACTCAGAGGAGAGAAGATTGGAACCTTCAGCCTTGGTATCGAGCGTGGTTCAAGTCAATCCGTCTGCCAGTTTTAGCATCAGGAAGAAACAAGCCAGCCTCATTTCTACTGCCACCAGCGTCTAATTAATTAATTAATTAATTAATTAATTAATTAATCATTTAATTGATTTCTCTAGTTATTTAATTAATGTTTCAATTAATCTGTTTTTAACAGATCGTTTATTTATTTTAAACTAACTGATTAAACTAATTGGTTGATTGGTTGACAAATTTCAATTTAATATTTACCTATTTATTTATCTTTTATATTTTATTTGATCGGTGTACTATATTTTTATTTCGTTGGTTGTTTACATCGCAACTGTGGATCCTAGCCTATGATAAAATTTGATTTTAAACTGTTGCTCGTTTTAGTTGTACTTGGTCACTAGAAATTTATCATGGCGCCTCATACATTAGGTATTTGGCGCTATATAAATGACCTTTTTTATATTTTTAATTATTATTATTTATGTTATTATTGTTATTGTGTTTTAAATTATTTCTACTGCATCATCTCTGTCAGGAGTCTGCCAGGCTTTTATCTATTTTATCCTATTATTGTTATTTTTTACATTATTATTATTTCTATATATTTTTTCCAGTTGTGTTAGTGTTTGTGATTTGCAGATACTGCAATGTATGTTATGTTAGTGCTATTCAACGTGCACGGCGTATGCGCCTTTGTTGATGAGATGAGTTCCAATGTAGGTACCTACTCTACTCTACTCTATCCTCATTTAAAACTGTTTGATTACGACTGTTTGAGTTGTTTTTTTGCAGTTTATTGCTTTTGAGTTTATAATCATCTTTATACTTGGTAGGTTGGTTGGCTGATTGATTGATTGGTTGATTGTTTGATTTTTAATTTTTTGATTGATTGGTTGATTGATTGATAAGTTGGTGGATTGATTGTTTGATGTCATATCAGATGCTTATTCACTTTTAAAATTTCGCGATTTTTTGCCACCAAGTGATTTACTGATAGAAAATTTAGTACAGTTTAGCGGACATACAGACGCATAACAAGCACGTGAATAGACAAACAAATAGACGAATATAAAAAGACAAATACCTATGCGTAACATACTTGATTTAATTTTGTATTCAATTTTAAAACAACGAATCACTTGTGTGTATGTATGTATCAGTGTAAATATATGAATAAAATGATATATTGAACACCTCATCTATGTTTTGATTCACAGTGTCCTTTCTACGTCTTGTATCGTGTTCGTGCTTAACCGAAAGTTTAATATTATTTTATTCATTATATGATAATTAATTAATTAAATAAATAAACAAATAGTTGACATGCAATGTATCTTTTGTTCGGATTCAAGCCTATTAAAATGAACAATGTTAAGTATATTGTATTAGTGTTTTAATTGTATTTCAATCATTTCGCATTGTGTACAAGCAAAAACGAATATATATTTTTACATTTATTTATACATTTTAAGAATATAAATTAAATATGATATATTATGTTTAGCAGATTTTCACTGAGATTTCTCTATTACGGTTAAGGTACTTTAATATATTTTGAACAAGGCAACATATAACGCATGTAAGTATGATACACACATAATACATAATACATATGTATGATACATAGACATAATACATATGTATGATACATGGACATGATACATTTACATAATGCATATGTATGAAACATGGACATGATACATAATACATATGTATGATACATGGACATGATACGTAATACATATATGTATGATACACGGACATAATACATTTTTCCATGTCTGTCTTTATATTTCAACGTTAATCTTTCATTGCTCAAATCGCGCGTTAGATGCCTTTCAATGATTTCGAGATAGTTTTTTCTGTTTTTCTGCGTTCGTGTGTTTAGTTCGTCAGTCTATTACCATATCGTTTATTTATTCGTTTAATATTAATTGGTTAATAATTAATTAATTCTGAAAATCATTCAATCATTTATTCATTTGATTATTTATTGATAAATTTATTTATTCATTCATTCGTTCGTTCGTTCATCCATTTATTATTCAATCATTTTACTCTGTTGGTTTTGGTGGTCTGATTATTTTTTGGTCACCCTTGCGCTAATTATCTCTATTTCCATTACAAACTTCGTTTTTTCAAGGTCTATTCATCCATTAATTCATTCGTTCACTCGCTCATTCATTCATTCATTCAGTCATTCATTCATTCATTCAGTCATTCATTCATTCATACTTCCTTACCTTCATTCATTTTATTTCCATTTCACAAAGCTTTTCCACAACTTCATAAGTTCAGTTTAACTTCGCTCCTTTAGGTATTTTATATCAGCCAGTCGGCAAAACATTAACAAACAAAAGTGCTTATTAACCCAACGTTATATGGATGAATTGAAAATTGATTAGTATGTATTTATGGCTCTGTGTGTCTCTAAGTGTGTATCTCAGTGTCTGTATGTGTGTATCTCAGTGTCTGTATGTGAATGAGTGTATGTGTATATAATAGCTGTAGATTTATGATAATATTGGGTATGTATAATTTATAGTTTTATGAAAATATATGTGTGCCATATACAATCTAATTTTTTTATCTGTGTTAATTAGTGTGTATGTATGAGTGTGTGTGCGTGTTTGTGCATGCGTGTGCGTGCATCTTTGTGTGTTCGTGTGTGTGTGTGCTTGTTTGTGTGTGCGTGTGTGTAGTTTTGCGTGTCTAAGTGATTTTGATTTAAATGTTGATCGAAAATATTTATATAGCCTATTTCACGTAAAGATTTTGCTTCACACACGTTTACCCAGAAGTCCAGTGTCTGTCTATAAAATGTACGTGATTACTTTAAGGTTAATTGATTAATTAATTAAATAATGAGTCAATTAGTAGTTAGATTGTATAATGTATGAATGTGATTTAAACAATTTCATTAATACCTTTATTAATCCAACACGTGTCTATATACATGCGTGTCAATATACATGCGTGTCTATATACATGCGTGTCTATATACATGCGTGTCTATATACATGCGTGTCTATATACATGCGTGTCTATATACATGGTCCAGTCATTCAAAAAGTTCACTCACACCGCTTCACAAGCTTACTTCATACAAACTAGCCATGCCATTTTATAATTTTTATTGGTTTATAAATCATATATTTATACACACCAATATACATCTTTATATACTTATTCACCATTATATATACATTTATATATGTTTATTATATATGTGTATATGTATATTTATGTTTATTTATGTTTGTATATGTGTGTATATGTGCGTATATGTGTTGGCGATGATTTTATTTTAAAATTTTAATTTGTTGAATTTTCAGCGCGCGCATATCCTTCAACTTTAAATTTCTTCTTTTCATTTTTTCTATTTCAATTGATTATTTTAATTTATTGATTTGCTACTTCATATATAATATAACTGTATACATTTATGATTCTAGATATATATATATATATATATATATATATATATGTGTGTGTGTGCGTGTGCGTGTGTGTGTGTGTTTATTTTTTTCTAGTCGTTTTGGTAGAAAATTCACGCTTCAACTTTTGTATAAATCTGCTTTAATATATTTTGTTGAATATAATTAATGATTTTAATTTCAAATGTATTTATATACGCATGTATACATGTATCTATATACATTGTATATGTTTGTATGCATATGCATATTATATTTGTTTATATATTTTTCGATTGGTTATTGTTTATTACGTAATTTCTTGATTATATATACTTTGAAATAAACATCAACACACAAATTTTTTGGTAATAAGTTTGTTTTTTGGATTTTTTTTTATTTCCACATAATTATTAAAAATTTCAGATAAGATCTCTGTTGGTATTTCAATCATGGATATATCCATGGTTTCAATTCATCCTCGGTAGGTTTTTTAATTTCGTTTGGCTGAACAAGTGTTTTTAATAAAATCGCTTTCGATTTTTCGTAAATTTTGTGATCTGTGGCGAACAACAATCATGAAAATTCTCTCGTAACGAATCTTCACACGATGGTATCTCCATCAGAAAATGTTTCTAAGCAGTCGGTTTCTTGGGAATGCTCGCGCATTAGCACGTTGTTCCTGCTCGTCTGCTACTTGACAATGCATGAACATTGCACGGCACAAGTCCTGCATGAAGCTTCAACACTTGCAGACGACGAGAAAGAAAGTTCGTCTTCCTTCCACACCGTTCTATCAATCTCTCAATCTCCGTCGCCTTCAGCAGCTGCTGTAACCATCACCACCCCATCAGCAACACGTGATGACTATATTGATGATGATGATGATGATGCTAATGATGGTGCTACAATTGGATCGGTATATGGCGATGGATACGTTGATAATGTTTCAATTCATTTCATTTCTACACTTGATTCGGATGCGACGAATCTTAATAATGCACATCATCTCGAAGCTCCCACATCACTTGCCGCAACGTCAACAGTATCGGCGTCACTCACATCAACATCATCTCCATCCACATCGCTTCCATCCACGTCATCTGCATTCGATCACATGAAGACGTCCACCAAATCGTCAAAAGCCACTAAAACGTTATCGACCGTCATCCAGTATGCGGCATCTGATTCCAGTGACAGCAGTGGGGAAGACGACGACGATTCTTCATGGGAGCAGAATGACAGCTCGGCATCGAGTTCGCAAAGTTCTTTCGCATTCTTCTCCGCATCTTCCAGTTCCTCGCAATCATCGTGCTCCGACTCCTCAGATGCCTACTTCACTCCGTTCGATCAACTGTTGAACGACGACAACCCGAAAAATAACTCGAAACGAATGGAAGAAGAGAAGGAGAAAGTAGTTGAGTACGTATGTGACGTCATCGAAGGTCTGAACGATTTGTGCTCCGTCATCACAACCACGGTCAGACCTCTGATGGCCGTTTTAACTGAACTCTCAAAAAGCCCAAGTCATTTGAAGGGTCCTCCTCACTCGAGGAGTCAATCGATCAGCTCGTTAGATTTATCGAGTAGTTGTAGGTCCACTGACTCTTCTGAATGACATCATGATGACGTCATAAAAACGTCACAGTGACCTAAACATAAGATCGTCATAATGACCTTTCACAATCGGTGTTTTTTTTGTAAAGTAAATCTTTTTGCTTGATTTAAATATTTTAAATAAAATTGGCCGTTAACGAAATGAAAAAGTTAGTTTTTGTTGCAATTGAAAGGAGTTGAAACATAAGACAGAAGTAAAAAAAAAAGATGGCGATGAGTACGACGATGGAGACGTGGAAAGTGTTGAGGAATGCATGAATCTGACGAAGTGGCCAGCTTATGAAACATATCGCCTGCCGCTTCTAATGCTTCTAATCAACTTATCTACTTCTCCTTCGTGTTCTCACACGCTCCACTTATGTAAGTATGCAACCATTCAAACACGACCGAATTCTCGCCGCTTCCTCTTTGTAGTCATCAATTTTAGTATTTAAAAATATGAATGGTTAGTAATAACGTTTACGACCGGATGTTTATGTATACATAGTAAATAAAAATTGTAAAATCTTTTCTTTAAAAAATTAATTTGAATAGAAAAAAATGTGTTCACATATATAAATATACGATTGTAATTGGTAATAAAATGTTATCTCTTAATTATTATTCAATTGATATTCTCAATTTGTAGCATTTTTTGCTTTCATGTGCTTATTTAGAGAATTTAATTGGACAAGTGCCAGCCTGTATATGACACTCCTAGCTACGATCTTGGATGATTTTGGAACTTGTGACTAAAAATTATAGGAAGAACATTCTTTTTATTCTTTTTTTCGAATTAGATACTGAAATTGTTTTATTGACTTTTTCCACAACGGGTCTTTCAATATTTTCACAAATTTTATTATATTAATTTTCTAAAAAAGTTGTTTTTTTTCAAATTTTTTTTTTAATTTTGCAAGTTTTGCTTTAAAAAACAAAAATCTTACGAATAAATTGAGATGTTTCTTAAAGATAAGTTTTACTTTTAACATTCTAGCTAATTCTTCAATATTTGTTTTAAAACTAGAATCTTTCAATCCATTTTACTATCCATACATTCATTTAATTATTCATTCATTCATCCATCTATCCATCCATCAATTCATCCATTCATTCCATTCATTTATCCGTTTGAAGTTTCCTTGCATAGCTTCAATTCATACTTGAAGTCATTTGAAATTTCAAAGCATGAAGGCGGTAGGCACGGCACGCAAGCAATCTCATTAACGTAAAAAAATATACCAAACATCAGATACCCATTCAGGTAGGTAACTAGCATTCGACTCCATTCAAACATCAAAAATACAATCTATGTTCGCCAACGTGTGTACTTTATTTTTCGTACAAATACCTTCGTACGATGTGCACAAATACACAGCACGCACAAATACATGTTTGCTGTATGCATTTACATACTCGAGTGCTTATACAAAATTTTTTTTAACATTGAACGACTTCGTGTCGATGATTGAATGATTGGCTAGAGAAGGAAGCGAAAAATAAATAGTTGTTTTCAAAAGAGTTTGTTTTTATTGAAATAGAATGTAGAGAAAAAAGAAGCTAGATTTAAATTAACAATGACTGCTGTTTACATTGGTCTCTTAAAAATATTTTTTTATTTAACCAATTCAAAAAATGATTAGGCCTAAAGATGGATTATTTCAATCTTTACCAATAATACAAATATGGCCGAACTGTTCGATCAGAGTGTTCCTGTCCAGTGTTTACTTTTCCTTCCATTCATTCACTGGTGGATAAAACTTCTAAAAATTCCACAAAAAAACAAAGTAGTCCAAGTATGACATTATAAAAAAGCACACGAAATTCACGTAGTGTACCAAGGTATGTTTAGTTTGTGTGCGTACGTACCTTCGAGCAAGTACATTGCACTGCGTACGAGAAGATGCAAAGCATACATGCATGCATACATACATCACTGCGTGTACTTCATGTGTGTGTGTGTTTGTGTGTGTGTTGGATTGATTGCGCCTGGTCACACACCATCCATACACGCAAACACACAAACAAACACACACACGTATTCAAACACATATATGCATATGTCTGCAAGTGAACATATACGTTGTCTTGTGTGTTCTGTGATGATACACAAACCTATACTTTTATATATAGGGCACGCACGCACGCACGCACACACATACGTAGACACGCATACGGAGATGTTTGATGATGTTGAGACATATGCGTGCATTTCATTTCGTGATCCCAAGAGGCTAAATGGTAATGCATCATGAAATGGTTTAATTAAATTGAAAGCAAGAGCTCCCGGGAAGGTTCTTGATATTTCATCCAATATTGAAAAAGAGAACAAACATAATATCGCGATTGAATAAAAACCTGAACATTATTTATTGATGTGAAAAGAATTTCACAAAAAAGTTTCTTCTGGCCGAAAAAAAACGAAACTAAACGTCATCGAACCCGGAATTGAACTGTTCAACGGCAAATTTTATCAAATACCTCAAATTATTGTTACGCTGGTAGCACTCCTTTGACACATGCGTGCATTAGTTTGGTGAAGTTGCTTTTATTTTCATGTTCCTCGTTTTTAACATCGAAAACGCTTGACTACAAAAACAACATTACCAACATTTGGAAGAAATAATTTCATTGAAAAACTAAAAATTAAAAAAATTTATATTTAAAAAATATTATGAAAAAAATTTAATCAAGTTTCTGCAACAATTTTTGAAAAAAAAATATCGGTGTGAAACTTGATAGAAACGTCAACGTCCATCCACGGCAGCAGCAGCAGCAAAAGCAGCAGCAGTAGTAGCAGCAGTAGTAGCAGAAGCAATTCAGCATCATCACCAATAGTTATCCTCCGATGCATCATTCAGCGAGAACAATTTGTTGGACCACTTTCGAGAGAGGAACATAATAAAGTGTTTGTCGGAGAGTTGTTTGTATTCAACGGCAAAGTTCTTTCCACGTATCACATTTCGTTCTCGCCTGTCTACATGCTACTCACATACTCACCTACGTTCACCGTCCGTTTTTGATCATCTAATACTATCTAATACATAACTACTGCATTCCGTCAAATTCTAGTAACTTTTAGAAGCTAGTAAAACCAGCACACTATTTCAAACTTGATTAGCATAATTTTGTTTTGTTGAAAATTAAAATATAACGCAAGATTTATATTGTACAATTGAATTAATAAGATGAAAATTCACTTAGGACAAGGGAAGTGTAAAAACATCTTTGATTGTTGATAAACCAGAAGACAGTACTGCGGTGCGTGATGGCTTCATATTAAAATGTGACAGATTTTATGAACGTGGGAGTGGTTAGACTGAATGATTCAAAAAGTTTCCATGTGATATCTCATGCTTGTTTGAGGTCATTCATCCATTCCATTCATTCGTTCGTTAGTTCGTTCGTTCGTTCATTCATTCATTTATTCATTCATTCGCTACTTTTCTCAACTTTTAATTTCCAGCATGTAGAAATTAATTTAATAATTATTTGTGATTTTTTTACATATCGTCTCAGCCCTTGAGATATTTTCAGTGGTGTCCTTACAAGAAAACTACAAACGGCCACACATACACACGCACATACTCACATGCACACACGCACGTACAGGCAAACATACACAACACAACCAAACATGCAAACATGTGTGGATATATAATATTTATTCGTATATAAATTTAAATTAAAAGCTTCAGGTTATTGCTCTGCATACAAATTATAATTATTATTATGACTTTTATTATTATTATTAATAATCAATGATATACAGACAGTGTGTGTTGTGTGTTGTTTGTGTCTGTCTGTCTGTCTGTCTGTGTGGGTGTCTTGGTTGGTTTGTAATGAACTAATTATACATGCAGAAAAATATAATGGGAGTTTGGAAGAAAGTGCTAAAAAAGGATGGTGGGAATTGAATTAGGCTGTAAATATTGTATATTGTTATTATTGCTATTATTTTTTTTATTATTTGTTAATTTTATTATTTATTATTACTAATTTTTATCTTTTCACTTTTCTTATAGATTTAGCCGAGTTTATGTGGCTGCCTTTGTTCGTTCACAAGCGTGTTTGAGTTTAGTTAAAAAATTGTTTGTGTTCATGTCATTTTTGTTATATAATATTTTTTATACGCACCACACACTTACCAACAGAGATACACAAACATCACACACACACACAATGTTAAAATGTGCTACTTTGTTAAACGAAACCAAGACAAAATTTTATACAGAAATACAAATTTCGTGATAATATGTTAGCGGTCCGACCAGAGTAAAATGTCAAAAATGATCTGGTTTTGCCACTCAAAAAATAGTTAAAAAAATGATAATAACACAAACAGTAATAATGTATCAATGAAATGTAAAATTTCCTCGTAAAATTTAAACCTTTCCAACAAGGTGATACTAGAAATACCGGAAATACTTAAATTACTTTCCTAAATAGTTGTTGCAGTAGTTGGGTATGGTAGTAACGTTGCGATAGAGTCATGGTAAGAGTAAAAATAGTTTTAAATCTGGGTGGTTTTTATAATTTATAATATTTATACAATAAAACTGGGGTGATGAATAAATTAAAAATTAAAATTAGCCGTGGTAGTTGTGGTAATTGTAGTATTAGTAGTAACAATTAAAAAAATATTATTATTAGTAGTACAATTAGTAGCAGCAGTAACAATGCTAATGGTCTATGACTATTGAAATAGTAGCAATCCTAATCTGGCAGGCATTATTATATTTATACTTATGAGGATGGCCAGATCTTCAGTGATCGATAAAATGAAACCACAATAGACTTTTAACGTATGTGCTACATTATCGCCAGTCTGCTCGACTTTCAGGTGCTCCAACGTTCAACATACATACAAGCACTACACGTGCATATGCAGGATCACTGTTTTTATACAATCACTGATCTATATATTCATATATATATTTTTTACAATAGTTATTAAACTTTTTGTCTTTGCTTATAATAAAATATACTCAATGTTTCATTACATTTTTCCAGTTTCTCCAC